ACCCCTCTCATCTACCCCTCTCATCTACCCCCTCTCTTCTACCCCTCTCTTCTACCCCTCTCATCTACCCCCTCTCATCTACCCCTCCCTCTCATCTACCCCCTCTCATCTACCCCTCTCATCTACCCCTCTCATCTACCCCCTCTCATCTACCCCTCCCTCTCATCTACCCTCTCATCTACCCCCTCTCATCTACCCCCTCTCCTCTACCCCCCTCTCATCTACCCCCCTCTCATCTACCCCTCCCTCTCATCCACCCCCTCTCATCTACCCCTCTCTTCTACCCCTCTCATCTACCCCCCTCTCATCTACCCCTCCCTCTCATCTACCCCTCTCATCTACCCCCTCTCATCTACCCCTCTCATCTACCCCCTCTCATCTACCCCTCTCATCTACCCCTCCCTCTCACCTACCCCTCTCATCTACCCCCCTCTCATCTACCCCTCTCATCTACCCCTCCCTCTCATCTACCCCCTCTCATCTACCCCTCTCATCTACCCCTCCCTCTCACCTACCCCTCTCATCTACCCCCTCTCATCTACCCCTCTCATCTACCCCCTCTCTTCTACCCCTCTCTTCTACCCCTCTCATCTACCCCCTCTCATCTACCCCTCCCTCTCATCTACCCCCTCTCATCTACCCCTCTCATCTACCCCTCTCATCTACCCCCTCTCTTCTACCCCTCTCTTCTACCCCTCTCATCTACCCCTCCCTCTCATCTACCCCCTCTCATCTACCCCTCTCATCTACCCCTCTCATCTACCCCCTCTCATCTACCCCTCCCTCTCATCTACCCCCTCTCATCTACCCCTCTCATCTACCTTCCCTCTCACCTACCCCTCTCATCTACCCCCCTCTCATCTACCCCTCTCATCTACCCCTCCCTCTCATCTACCCCCTTCATCTACCCCTCTCATCTACCCCTCCCTCTCACCTACCCCTCTCATCTACCCCCCTCTCATCTACCCCTCTCTCATCTACCCCTCTCATCTACCCCTCCCTCTCATCTACCCCCCCTCTCATCTACCCCTCTCTTCTACCCCTCTCATCTACCCCCTCTCATCTACCCCTCTCATCTACCCCCCTCTCATCTACCCCCTCTCATCTACCCCTCTCATCTACCCCTCTCATCTACCCCTCTCATTCTACCCCTCCCTCTCATCTACCCCCTCTCATCTACCCCTCCCTCTCATCTACCCCTCTCATCTACCCCCTCTCATCTACCCCTCTCATCTACCCCCTCTCTTCTACCCCTCTCATCTACCCCCTCTCATCTACCCCTCCCTCTCATCTACCCCCTCTCATCTACCCCTCTCATCTACCCCTCCCTCTCACCTACCCCTCTCATCTACCCCCCTCTCATCTACCCCTCTCTCATCTACCCCCTCTCATCTACCCCCTCTCATCTACCCCCTCTCATCTACCCCTCTCTCATCTACCCCTCTCACCTACCCCTCTCATCTACCCCCCTCTCATCTACCCCTTCTCATCTACCCCCCTCTCATCTACCCCTCTCATCTACCCCTTCTCATCTACCCCCCTCTCATCTACCCCTCTCACCTACCCCTCTCATCTACCCCTCTCATCTACCCCCTCTCATCTACCCCTCCCCTCTCATCTACCCCTCTCATCTACCCCTCTCATCTACCCCTCTCATCTACCCCTCTCATCTACCCCTCTCATCTACCCCTCTCATCTACCCCTCTCATCTACCCCTCCCTCTCATCTACCCCTCTCATCTACCCCCTCTCATCTACCCCCTCTCATCTACCACTCGCTCTCATCTACCCCTCTCATCTACCCCTCTCATCTACCCCCTCTCATCTACCCCCTCTCATCTACCCCTCTCATCTACCCCTCTCTCATCTACCCCCTCTCATCTACCCTCCCTCTCATGTACCCCTCCCTCTCATCTACCCCCTCTCATCTACCCCTCTCATCTACCCCCTCTCATCTACCCCCTCTCATCTACCCCCCTCTCATCTACCCCCCTCTCATCTACCCCCCTCTCATCTACCCCCTCTCATCTACCCCTCCCTATCATCTACCCCCTCTCATCTACCCCCTCTCATCTACCCCTCTCACCTACCCCCTCTCATCTACCCCGTCTCACCTACCCCCTCTCATCTACCCCCTCTCATCTACCCTCTCATTTACCCCTCTCATCTACCCCCTCTCATCTACCCTCTCATCTACCCTCTCATCTACCCCTCTCATCTACCCCCTCTCATCTACCCCCCTCTCATCTACCCCCTCCTCTCATCTACCCCCCTCTCATCTACCCCCCCTCTCATCTACCCCTCTCATCTACCCCCTCTCATCTACCCCTCCCTCTCATCTACCCCTCTCATTTCCCCCCTCTCATCTACCCCCCTCTCATCTACCCCCTCTCATCTACCCCCCTCTCATCTACCCCCTCTCATCTACCCCCCCCTCTCATCTACCCCTCCCTCTCATCTACCCCTCTCATCTACCCCCCTCTCATCTACCCCCCTCTCATCTACCCCTCTCATCTACCCCTCTCTCTCATCTACCCCCTCTCATCTACCCCTCTCATCTACCCCCCTCTCATCTACCCCTCTCTCATCTACCCTCCCTCTCATCTACCCCTCCCTCTCATCTACCCCTCTCATCTACCCCCCTCTCATCTACCCCCTCTCATCTACCCCTCTCTCATCTACCCTCTCATCTATCCCTCTCATTACCCCTCTCATCTACCCTCCCTCTCATCTACCCCTCCCTCTCATCTACCCCTCTCATCTACCCCCCCCTCTCATCTACCCCCCTCTCATCTACCCCCTCTCATCTACCCCCCCTCTCATCTACCCCCTCTCATCTACCCCTCTCATCTACCCCCTCTCATCTACCCCCCCTCTCATCTACCCCTCCCTCTCATCTACCCCCCTCTCATCTACCCCCTCTCATCTACCCCTCCCTCTCATCTTCTCTCCCGTCTGATAGTGGTTGTTGTGGTTGTGATGATTGTTGTTGTTGTGGTTGTTGTGGATGTTGTGGTTGTGGTGGTGGTAGTAGTTGTTGTGGTGATTGTGTTAGTGGTTGTAGTGGTGGTGGTAGTATTTGTGATGGTTGTAGTTGTGGTTGTGGTGGTAATGGTGGTGGTAGTATTTATGATGGTTGTTGTTGTGATTGTTGTAGATTTTCCCGGACCCTGAGCTAGAGAGTGAGCTAGATAGTGATTGTGGTGCTGGTGGTGGTAGTAGTTGTGATGGTTGTTGTTGTGGTTGTTGTTGTTGTAGATTTTCCCGGACCCTGAGCTAGAGAGTGAGCTAGATAGTGATTGTGGTGGTGGTGGTAGTAGTTGTGATGGTTGTTGTTGTGGTTGTTGTTGTTGTAGATTTTCCCGGACCCTGAGCTAGAGAGTGAGCTAGACAGTGATTGTGGTGGTAGTGGTGGTAGTATTTGTGATGATTGTTGTTGTGGTTGATGTTGTTGTAGATTTTCCCGGACCCTGAGCTAGAGAGTGAGCTAGATAGTGATTGTGGTGGTAGTGGTGGTAGTATTTGTGATGGTTGTTGTTGTGGTTGTTGTTGTTGTAGATTTTCCCGGACCCTGAGCTCAAGAGTGAGCTAGATAGTGATTGTGGTGGTGGTGGTAGTGGTGGTAGTAGTTGTGATGGTTGTTGTTGTGGTTGTTGTTGTTGTAGATTTTCCCGGACCCTGAGCTCAAGAGTGAGCTAGATAGTGATTGTGGTAGTAGTATTTGTGATGGTTGTGGTTGTTGTGATTGTAGATTTTCCCGGACCCTGAGCTAGAGAGTGAGCTAGACAGTGATTGTGGTGGTGGTGGTGGTAGTGGTGGTAGTATTTGTGATGGTTGTTGTTGTTGTTGTGATTGTAGATTTTCCCGGACCCTGAGCTAGAGAGTGATTGTAGTGGTGGTAGTAGTTGTGATGGTTGTTGTTGTGGGGGTTGTTGTTGTTGTGATTGTAGATTTTCCCGGACCCTGAGCTAGAGAGTGAGCTAGATAGTGATTGTGGTGGTGGTAGTAGTTGTGATGGTTGTTGTTGTGGTTGTTGTTGTGATTGTTGTGATTGTTGTAGATTTTCCCGGACCCTGAGCTCGAGAGTGAGCTAGATAGTGATTGTGGTGGTGGTGGTAGTATTTGTGATGGTTGTTGTTGTGGTTGTTGTTGTTGTGGTTGTTGTTGTTGTAGATTTTCCCGGACCCTGAGCTCGAGAGTGATTGTTGTTGTGGTTGTTGTTGTTGTGATTGTTGTAGATTTTCCCGGACCCTGAGCTCGAGAGTGATTGTTGTTGTTGTGATTGTTGTAGATTTTCCCGGACCCTGAGCTAGAGAGTGATTGTGGTGGTGGTAGTAGTTGTGATGGTTGTTGTTGTGGTTGTTGTTGTGATTGTAGATTTTCCCGGACCCTGAGCTCGAGAGTGATTGTTGTTGTGGTTGTTGTTGTTGTGATTGTTGTAGATTTTCCCGGACCCTGAGCTCGAGAGTGATTGTTGTTGTGGTTGTTGTTGTGGTTGATGTTGTTGTAGATTTTCCCGGACCCTGAGCTCGAGAGTGACTGTTGTTGTTGTTGTGATTGTTGTAGATTTTCCCGGACCCTGAGCTCGAGAGTGATTGTTGTTGTTGTTGTGATTGTTGTAGATTTTCCCGGACCCTGAGCTCGAGAGTGATTGTTGTTGTGGTTGTTGTTGTTGTGATTGTTGTAGATTTTCCCGGACCCTGAGCTCGAGAGTGATTGTTGTTGTGGTTGTTGTTGTTGTTGTTGTGATTGTTGTAGATTTTCCCGGACCCTGAGCTCGAGAGTGATTGTTGTTGTGGTTGTTGTTGTGGTTGTTGTGATTGTTGTGATTGTTGTAGATTTTCCCGGACCCCGAGCTCGAGAGTGATTGTTGTTGTGGTTGTTGTTGTGGTTGTTGTTGTGATTGTAGATTTTCCCGGACCCTGAGCTAGAGAGTGAGCTAGACAGTGATTGTTGTTGTGGTTGTTGTTGTGGTTGTTGTTGTGATTGTTGTGATTGTAGATTTTCCCGGACCCCGAGCTCGAGAGTGAGGTCTTGTCCCTGACTGTGCGCTGTGAGCATGGGGACAGTGGGTGTCGCTGGGTGGGACCCATCAGACTCATGCAGGTAAAACTCACCACCTACTCACCACCTACTCACCACCTACTCACCACCTACTCACCACCACCTACTCACCACCTACTCACCACCACCTACTCACCACCACCTACTCACCACCTACTCACCACCTACTCACCACCTACTCACCACCACCTACTCACCACCTACTCACCACCTACTCACCACCTACTCACCACCACCTACTCACCACCTACTCACCACCTACTCACCACCACCTACTCACCACCTACTCACCACCTACTCACCACCTACTCACCACCACCACCTACTCACCACCTACTCACCACCTACTCACCACCTACTCACCACCACCACCACCTACTCACCACCTACTCACCACCTACTCACCACCACCACCTACTCACCACCTACTCACCACCACCTACTCACCACCACCTACTCACCACCTACTCACCACCTACTCACCACCACCACCTACTCACCACCTACTCACCACCTACTCACCACCTACTCACCACCACCTACTCACCACCACCACATACTCACCACCACCTACTCACCACCACCTACTCACCACCACCTACTCACCACCTACTCACCACCTACTCACCACCACCTACTCACCACCTACTCACCACCACCACCTACTCACCACCTACTCACCACCTACTCACCACCACCTACTCACCACCTACTCACCACCTACTCACCACCACCTACTCACCACCTACTCACCACCTACTCACCACCACCACCTACTCACCACCTACTCACCACCTACTCACCACCACCTACTCACCACCTACTCACCACCTACTCACCACCAACTCACCACCTACTCACCACCTACTCACCACCCTACTCACCACCTACTCACCACCTACTCACCACCTACTCACCACCTACTCACCACCTACTCACCACCTACTCACCACCTACTCACCACCTACTCACCACCTACTCACCACCTACTCACCCACTACTCACCACCTACTCACCACCTACTCACCACCTACTCACCACCTACTCACCCACTACTCACCACCTACTCACCACCTACTCACCCCCTACTCACCACCTACTCACCACCTACTCACCACCTACTCACCACCAACTCACCACCTACTCACCACCTACTCACCACCTACCCCACCACCTACTCACCACCTACTCACCACCACCTACTCACCACCTACTCACCACCTACTCACCACCACCTACTCACCACCTACTCACCACCACCACCTACTCACCACCTACTCACCACCTACTCACCACCACCTACTCACCACCACCTACTCACCACCTACTCACCACCTACTCACCACCACCACCTACTCACCACCTACTCACCACCTACTCACCACCACCTACTCACCACCTACTCACCACCTACTCACCACCACCACCTACTCACCACCTACTCACCACCTACTCACCACCACCTACTCACCACCTACTCACCACCACTTACTCACCACCTACTCACCACCTACTCACCACCTACTCACCACCACCTACTCACCACCTACTCACCACCACCTACTCACCACCTACTCACCACCTACTCACCACCACCTACTCACCACCTACTCACCACCACCTACTCACCACCTACTCACCACCACCTACTCACCACCTACTCACCACCTACTCACCACCACCTACTCACCACCTACTCACCACCTACTCACCACCACGTACTCACCACCTACTCACCACCTACTCACCACCACCTACTCACCACCACCTACTCACCACCTACTCACCACCACCTACTCACCACCTACTCACCACCTACTCACCACCACTTACTCACCACCTACTCACCACCTACTCACCACCTACTCACCACCACCTACTCACCACCTACTCACCACCTACTCACCACCACCTACTCACCACCTACTCACCACCTACTCACCACCACCTACTCACCACCTACTCACCACCTACTCACCACCACCTACTCACCACCTACTCACCACCTACTCACCACCACCTACTCACCACCTACTCACCACCTACTCACCACCACCTACTCACCACCTACTCACCACCTACTCACCACCACCTACTCACCACCTACTCACCACCTACTCACCACCACCTACTCACCACCTACTCACCACCTACTCACCACCACCTACTCACCACCTACTCACCACCTACTCACCACCACCTACTCACCACCTACTCACCACCTACTCACCACCACCTACTCACCACCTACTCACCACCTACTCACCACCACCTACTCACCACCTACTCACCACCTACTCACCACCTACTCACCACCACCTACTCACCACCTACTCACCACCTACTCACCACCACCTACTCACCACCTACTCACCACCTACTCACCACCACCTACTCACCACCAGCTACTCACCACCTACTCACCACCACCTACTCA